ACATTTGCATAAAAGAAAGACAATCTAATTTGTTTTAGTTCATTTTTACTTCCCATGTTATTTCAGCCTGTGACCATCTGTCACCTTGCCACGCGTGCCCCTCCTGAAACTCTTTCTAGAAATCCTGGCTCTATAGTGGAGACCAACGTGGTGCCACAGACATTTCACTTCTGGTTTGTTTGCCTGTTTGCTTGTTTTGAAGTGAATCTCTGCTGTGTAGATCAGGCTGACCTCAGACCCTGGTGCATTTGTCATCTATAAGCTACCCAGGAGTAGAGGATTGTGCCACAATGTCCAGCAGCTACTGGCATTTTAAAAAGGATACTGGAAAAGAGGACAATGTGCCCTAAAGAACAGACTCTCACCCTAATGAGACAGAATGATTTTGATTGACAGGTACTGAGGGCAGTATGATAGTTATGGTAGTAAAGGTAAGAGCCTTTCCTTGCATAGTGGAAGCAACTGTCCACTCAGCTGACTCTCACCCCACCCTTGTTATCAACTGATAGTTTTTGCTTCGTGATGCCCAAGACAGAGTCATGGCAGGTGGCACAACAAACTTGGATGTAATCAGGAGTGAACCTACAAAATTGTTCATGAAAAATGTGACTGTTTTTAACCCTTGTTTTGGGAAAAGGGAAAGCCGTGACTTCATAACAGAGAAGATAGCATAGTTCAAGGAATGCTCTGAAGGGTATCATGAACCAACCAACAGCCTTGACAGTAAGATATCAGTTCAAATGGGAAGCAGTTTAGAGAATCTGATGCAAGGAGACACCTTGCCCTGGTACTCTCTCCTTCATTGTGCCTTGCAACACCATCCTCACCTCCTGACTGCTTCAGTCAGGCACCAACTGGCGTGCTGATCCTGTGTTTTGGACAGTGATGTTTTGACTCCAAAACAAAAAGTACGGAATGAAGACAAGCTTAGGAAACCTCAGACCACCCTATGTAACCTAAAACCTCCCCGTGCAGAGCCAAAGCAAATGATTTACGTGCCTTTGGAAGCTGGTGTTTATTTTTGGAAGTTATTGTCACCGAGAGCTGACTGTCAAGAACAGGATCAAAGTGTTTTCTCTTCAAAATAACAGACTGTAGCTTCTGAAAGGCCTTGGGAGAGTGCATATCTCCTCACTCTCCTCAGGTTCTGTTATCAGCTGTGATAACAGATAAGGCTCAACTTCCACTCGTCTGCAATGATCCGTAATGTTTACAACATACAGTTAGAATACGGGTTTAAAAACAAATGTGTGTGCAAAGTGCTTTGCAAGGTTATTGAGAGAGAGCCAGCCAGCCATGATTTATGGCTATGGTACTAACCCCATCCTATTTCTTTCCAAACATATTCCATAGTTTGCATAGTCACCAGACTTCTTTTTCTCCACATCTAAACTTGGGATGTAACTCAGCCCATCTGTAAAACAAATTGATAACCATTTAAATCTTAACTAAACATTTGGGACTTAGCATTTAGAAATATGGAATTCAGCTGTTTTTTGAAACAATACCTAAAACATAGAAGAGCTTCAGTGTGTTCATGAGTTAAATTTATGTTCAAAGTTGGCATATCCTTTCAGAGAAAGAATCCATAATTTGCCATCAACTGTGTTTCTATCATTAACAAGGTTAACAAGTATTGTAAATGAAATCAATTCACATAAAATTCTCCTGCTATTGAGGCTGGGATGTTGATCAGTCGGCAGTAGGTGCCTGCAGTGCAAGTGTAAGGACCTGGAATCAGATTCCCAGCACCCATATAAAACACCAAGCACGGTGAGGAACATCTGCAGCCTCAATGCTGAAGAGGAAAGAGACATCTGGATCCTGGGAGCTCACTAGCCAGCTAGTCTGTCAGAAACCGTGAGCTCCAGGTTCAGTGAGAGGGGCTCTCTCAAAAATAATGTGAGAGCCATTAAGGAAGATACCCTTTACTTTGGCTGTTGGCCTACACACACACACACACACACACACACACACACACACACACATGGTGGGGGGGCAGGGAGACACAGAGACCTCCAAAACAATGTTAAGTGCTCTACATCACGTTTTTCTTAGTAGAGGGCCAAGTAATTTCTCTAGACTGAGAAGTAACATATTTGATGCCAAAATGCCGTCGGGCTTTTCTTCCTATCCTTGAGTAGCTCTTTCTTTAATAATTTCCAATTGCTCTATCATCCTAGGCATTTCAAATTTTCAGTACAGATTAGTCACTCACTATCAGCCTCTCTCATCTTCCTCATTTGTCCTCATACCTCCAGACCATTCCAATGACACCCCTTCATGTCCACTCTGATGCCTGACTGCACTTAGATTGAATTTACGGTCATCTAAACTGTCAGTTCTTCTGGAGACAGCCTGTAGGGTGGGGCTGTTCTGTCATGGTTTCCCCACGATTTTACCATGATTTTTATTATGGATATAAAACAGCTAAGACTATTGATAACATTCTCCTTTTTTGTTAGTTAGTTAGTTAGTTAGTTAGTTAGCTAGCTAGTTAGTTAGTTTTTGAAACAGGGCTTCTCTGTGCAACAGTCCTGGCTGTCCTGAAACTCACATAGACTGCCTGCTTCTGCTTCCCAAGTGTTGGGACTAAAGCTGTGGGCAACCATAGCCAGCTGATAACATCCCTCTTGATGATAGTTAAAACATTTTTGAAAATATTAGGGACCTGTTTAAAAGACCAACTCTAGCCTCTAAGGAGCAAGCACTGTTTTGTGCCCTGGTTGCCTACATTTCAATCAGGGTTACATTTCAACTGAGTATTTGAACAGATGAAAGGCTCTTCATTCCGTATTAATTCCATAACCATGCAAGCCCCATGTCTGCAGTCACATCAGCGAGAATGGCTGCAGTGCTTAGGGTTAACTGTGTCATCTAATTGTGTTATATGAAGAACTCAGTGCATACTTGTTAAAAAAAAGAAGTGTCAAGAACTTTTCCTGTCACCGCAGAGAGGAGTCATTTGCCACTTTGGAGAACAGATAAATTAGGGGTGGGGATATCAAAGAAAAGGCTATAAAAATGTGTGGCCAAGGGTGGGGTTTAGTACTTGCCTGGCCTTGTGAAGCCCTGGGTCCTCAGCACTGCAAGAGAAAGTGGTTTGTTCCCTCTTGGGAAGGCAATCGTTCAATGAGAAGAAAAACACAAGTATGTGAAGAATTTGCAAAGCAAATATGGAATGCATGTAAATTCAAATGGCAGGAAAATGTCACATAAGAAGAGATATTCACAGAAAGAGGGCGAGAGAGGAAGCAGAGAATTCCAATAAGGACTGCTGTAGGAGGAAGCCGCCTGTGCCAGGCTTGAGGCAATGGGGACCAGGGTGCAGAGCAGCCAAGACCGTCTTCTGAAGAAAGCAGCAGATGTAAAAACACAGAACAGAGGAAAAACAAAGCCAGATCCAGAGTCAGCTGTCAGTTTGTTCCGTTGGAAGAAGAACTGCATTCCTGAGAGAAATGGTCAGTTGTAAGAACAAGGAAGAGCTAGATACTCCTCACCCACTTATTATCTCCTTCACTCACTATTCAAGGTACATGTGGGGACCCCAGATCATGCTGACATTCTTCTCCAGACACTGAGGTTGTACCCTAGTTCTTTGATCTTGTGTACCTACAGTCGATGATCAAAAGGCAATGGGCCAGTTTATACTATATTAATATGTAGCATTTGAATCTATTTGGTGAAGCTGATCCCAGACATGCACATTGGCCTGCAAGGAGACAGTTACGTCAGCGTTCAGGAGTATGCTCAGTAGAACATAGAACTATCTCACATCTGTCTCCTAGCAGCTCCCCTCTTTGTCTTGTTCCAGAACAGCCATAAGGCTGCTTATCCACAACAGTAATTTCGTTGTTGTTTTGTTTACTTTGATGTTTTGAGACAAGGTCTCATTATTGCAGCTCAAGGTGGCCTGAAACTTGTGAACTACCTAGCTCAGCCTCCTGAGTGCTGGTGCTACAAAGGGTACACCACCAAACAAGGCTCGTTACAGCAAAATGAACAAAATCCTCACAGTGTTATAGTCTCTGTGTAGTCTGTCCTGAGATTGGAGACCTTGGCTATCCTCATATTTAGATCTGTCTTTCAAGATTATCTGACCTTGAAAACTGAGAAGATGCACAGCGCAGGTCAACTGTGTCTGGAAATTGCTTGCAGACCTTGTTTCTGTTTCTCCCCTTAAAAAGGCTCAGAGCTGTGTCAGATGTCAGAAGGAATGCATTGGGCTTGGCAGAACTGCTAACTAATGATAATTTCATATTGCTTAGTCACCCCACTGTAGGACTATTTTCAGCTTCCATACTGACGAAATTTCCTGCCTATCACCAAAGCAGCTGACTTAACATTAAAGAGGGATATTTACTTTTCTAATTAGATATATTTAAAAAAAAAGCACAGCGAGCACTTATTTTCATTTTATATAGTATCCTCGGGGGATACAGGCTGGTGAAAAGCAGTGGCTTGTGATGGGTGGACGAAAATGGTCAGAAGAGTTAATGGGCATCTCCAGAAGTGCTAGTCCCAGTTCAACAGATGTTAAGATGATAATCGTCTCAAATGTGCCGATGATATTCTGCGAGCAGCAGACCTGACATCGGAGGCCTGTAGACGAAAGGATCTGTGTTGACTGATCCCCTTTGCTACGGTTGAGCTCTAAGGTTCTAATGTGCTATGGAAAATAATGAGCCTGAGAGTATCCATTGGATACTAGCTTGATGAACGGCCACGGGCCCTTCTGGAGACAGTACTGGAAAGTCAAAGTTAGAAATCGTAGACACTCGAGGGGCAGGTAATTAAAGTTTCAACAGAACCTCTGAAGGTAATAGGATGGAGTTTACATATACATGGATTAAGATCTTAGATTTTTTTAATGTATATTTACCAAGAGAAGGAAAATATATTTTGTTTTTTTTTCATTTTGCATTTGTTACATTAACTGCACCCGTTGTTCTGAATCTTTGTTGAGACTAAGAAATCACCTCTTTCAAAATTATTTGCAGATATGGATATTAATGATGATCCTAATGATGACCATCTTGCAAGTTATGACATTCAGCTCTGTATTCAGGAATCCATTGAAGCGAGACAGGCTGTGTTCCATCCTGAAAGGTAGCGTTCTAACCAACTCCTCCCAATAAATTTCTTTATGGCAGTCATTTGCTGTGAGACTCAGTCCTCCTCTATAAAAATGCTTATTTCCCCTGTGACACACATACTCTTTTTCTGTTGTGATGCCTAACAACTTAAAAATGTCAACGTTGCAGCTATTTTAATAATCTGTTCTACAAATATGGATCTTATGTAGAAAATGGAAATTTCTTAAGTGGGCAATCCATAGCCCACTTGGTTTTTTTTGTTTGTTTGTTTGTTTGGAGATTGCCTATAGTCTAAATTAATGTGGACTTAAGAATTAACAATGAGTAGTGTTTTAACACATTTGTGAGAACAGTGTAAAATAGACAGACAGAGGTCTGTATGTATGCTAGTTGCCACCTCGTCAGCTAACCCTTGTGAGTAGACACATTAAAACATACATAAAATTGATGTTGCAAGCATAGTAACAATAGAATCTAAAACTGAAAAAAAAAGTTCATGCTATTTATGACATAATGAAAAATTAGGTCTTGGTTAGCCTTTACATACTACTATCATGTTTAGAATTTTATAGTCAGGAATTTACTAGTGCTTATAAGTACATTCATTGCTATGAAATTATTGCTTTTGAGCTATGCGTGAAGTTGTGTGCACTGTGTGTATGCTGTGTGTGTGTGTGTGTGTGTGTGTGTGTGTTTTCCTCCACTCATGAGCACAGTTGCTCAGAGGTCAATACTGAGTGGCTTCCTCTTACCTTTCTCTTTAAAGCAGGACCTCTCACTGTATCTGGCATATAGTTAGACTGCCTAGCTGGGCAAACCCCAGGCATCGTCTTGTCTCCACCTGGGATTACAGGTGTGGGCTGGTGATCTGAAGTCAGGTCCTTATGCCTCCGCAGCAGGCACTTTACTGGCGAGCTATCTTTCTACTCTTGAACGTTTGAAAGTGAATATGAAACTAGATCATGTAAATCTTTTAACTTTTAAAAAGGTACATGTTACATAAAATGTATGGTCTTTAAACTTTTTCATAGAAACCTCAGATAGATTTTCGACTCTGAGAGCTCCTCATAGGGCATTCAGAAACCTGTAATGTTAGCAGATACTTCTGCTTAATAGAGCTAATACCTTTGTTATGAAGTTTCTGTTTCCATTTAAGAAGCAATGTGCCACATAATTGCCCTATGAGCTTAATTCCTGACGGGCCACTGAACGGGAGTGTATTCTGTAAATGTTCTGCCTGTTAATCAATTGGTTAAATACTTCTAACATGCACATGGGCCATAAACTTCCAGCAATTGCTAAGAGCAATTGCTAACATTTATTTAGAACATAGTTTTGAAAGTAGGAGGAGCCCTCTTATTTAATCCAACTCAGAAGAAGAAAACGCCAGAAAGACTAACACACTTTCCCAGAGCCATGAAGTCAGACTATGACCTGAACTCAACCCTTTGACTCTGACTCCAGTCATTTATCCTATTTCTATGACTTGGAGAGACCCCCACCCCCACCCCCACCCCAAACCTCTTAATCCTGTACTTTGCTCTCTTTACTGGTGTACTTCGTGTTTGGCTTTGGAGAAATTTTCAAGTGGAAAAAAAATCAGCTATATGATCTTCTTAAAAATTGATATTATTACAGATATATTTATAAAAACTAAAGTTTATAAATACAGATCCCCAAAATACACCACTAGGACAAGTAAGACTTGTTTTTCTTTTTCTCTGCTAGGTTGGTACAACTAAGTGATCAAAACAGAAAGCTTGTGGAGGCCATAAGGCAAGGTGAGTGGGCATGCATGCTGCAGAGGGGTGGAACTGAGTATTCACCTTGTCAGGGCCGGTGTGTAATCCATCCGCACACTTTGTGTAGGTCACATTTTTGAGCTCCAGGAGTATGTGCAATATAAATATGCACTGGAAGAAGCGGATGAGAAAGGATGGTTCCCGTTGCATGAGGCTGTAGTTCAACCCATTCAACAGATACTTGAGACTGTTCTGGATGGTAAGTAAACACGCAAAAACTAGAGCAACAATGTAGATGGTGTAGTTGTACCAACTGAACATAACAAGCAAAAACAAAAGGCAGAATGAAAGACTAGCACAGTTTATGGCCTCTGCAATTGCACTTTTGCATCTGTTCACTTAAGAATGCCGTCCAGGATGGCAGAAAGTTACTATCACCATGTGTGATTGATAAAAGTGTCACAGGTCACAAAGTTAGTTTACTGCCTCTTCTCTTATCATTTCATTTATCATTACTTATTTGAATCAGCATTTTGTGTATAATATTAGGTGGTTTTGATTTATATGAAAGTCACATAGGCAGATGTGGTTTTTAACTTCTCAACAAAATGCTTTCACGTCTCAGCTTCCTATAAGACACTCTGGGAATTCAAGACCTGTGATGGAGAAACACCCTTGACTCTGGCAGTCAAAGCTGGTCTGGTGGAAAATGTCAAGACGTTGCTAGAGAAAGGGGTCTGGCCCAACACCAAAAATGACAAAGGAGAAACGCCTCTTCTGATTGGTAAATGATTTTTTTCTAGAATTTTGATAATCTGAAACAAATATAAATACTTAATAAGTGTTTTCTAGAAACCACTGAGCAATGGCTAAAATTTTCCCTAAATGCCTTCCCTTCTGCAACCTTTCTATTCTCCCATCCATATATCATGTGTCTATCAATTTCACTATCCTGTCCCATGAAAAGCATTATGAAAGTTGCTTTCACACAGTTTAACTCTTAGCGTAGAGAAAACCAGGAGGGTTCTAAATTAGTTGAGTGATACCATAGGTGTCAAGTCTAAAGGAATACCCTTGAGATAGGGTCAAGCTGAATGGGAGAGCTATGTGTGCAAGATGCTGCCAGAGCACATGCTAGAGAGGAGATGACAAAAAGAGGAACATCAGTTCTCCATCAGAGCAGTCAAACAAGACTGAAGAGAAGAGGAGATGCTGTGGACGATATGAGCTTGGCCCCTGTAAGAGCTTGCAGCAGTGGCACTGAGCAGAAAGGGTGGCATTGAAACTTGCCAAGCATCAGCTTCTCAATCTTCATCCCCACTAATGCTCAGTAAGAATCAGATGACTGGCCAGGTGGTGGTGGTCCATGCCGTTTAAATTCAGCACTCAGGAAGCAGAGGCGGGCAGACATCTGAGTTTGAGGACAGGCTGGTCTACAGAACAGGAAAGCAGGACAACACAGAGAAACCATATCTTGAAAAACCAAATCAAATCAAACCAAACCAAACCAAACCAAAACCAAATAAAACCAAACCAAACCAAACCAAACCAAACCAAAACCAAACCAACCCCAAAGCCAAAAACAAACAAACAAACAAAAAACCAATAAGAACAACAAAAAGAATCTGATGACTGAAGAAGAAAGAGCTGAGGCTGACCATGTATGACTCAAGATAACATTGGCTTTTCTGAGGGACACGTGGATGGGGTAACAATTTGGGGTTTGGTACTTGAGATTGGTGGACTTCTATCTTGTCTGTGAAATCATGATAAGGGGCTTTACATGCTCACATGTGATAATTCCTCAAGAAAAGAGAAGGCATATTAAGCCAGATGCTTTGCTGGGCATTCTGGATTTAAAGACATTGATTACTCTTTTGCTTAAAATTTGTAGAAGAGCTAGATAGACATAAGTAGAATTAAAGTAAATGCTACAATGAAGGTACATCCTGAAAGTAAATTAAGGGAATTAAAAAAAATGTTATCGCATCTGCAAAAACTCAGGGACTTAATTTCCTGAACTGTTCTGAGAAATACAGAGTCAGCATCAATAGGACTTTTACAAGAAAATGGATTATCCATGTGAGTTTATCAATTTTGCTCTTGGGCTACTTTGAAATTTGCTGCTCATGAGTCATTAACACACAAAGGAAAGATAAGAGGGGAGAACGGTCCTTTCTCTATGTAATTCCATTTTCAATGTTTTTCTTGACTTAGTCCTTCATCTTTGTGTCTATTTATGAAGTATGCTCAGACGGCAAAAATAAAATAGCCTTAAATCCACCCAGGACCCTTCATTGCGCACAGCCATCTGGCTCTGACTTGCAGTATTACAGTCGTGTTAGTATTCCTTGATGAGTGGTAAAGTAACAGATTGGTGGCGATCTGACACTTACTATGGTTTTTGCCCTTGGATGGACTCTGTGTTCATCCAGGGGATGTGGTGTCACCTTTCCTTTGCTGGATTGCCATACTCACCCTAGTCAGCACAGCCGGTTGTGGAGGAAGCTCTGAGAACTGTTTGTCCTGGGGTCTCAGATCATGTCACTGCTGACAGTTTACCTCACAAATCAAAGTGCAGTCTCCTTGACTCATTCTGCTTTCACTTTCTCAATCCTTACCCAGAAGTCTCAAGAGCTCCCTTCTCTGTGCATTTTCTGAGTCAGAAAACTCAGATGGAGATGCTACGTAAATTACTAATGAAACACATGTATTCAGAAAAAGGAAGAAAATGACAAAATAGAAATAAAAAGGGGAAGCCAGCAAGTCACAGCTTTCCAAGGATATTTTAAATAATACTAATTCTAATTAAAAACAATTCTAACTAAAAATCTGATTATATAAACCATATAACTTCTATTTTTTAAATATTTATTTATTTATTTATTTATTTATTTATTTATTTTTGGGTTTTTGAGACAGGGTTTCTCTGTGTAGCCCTGGCTGTCCTGGAACTCACTCTGTAGACCAGGCTGGCCTCAAACTCAGAAATCCGCCTGCCTCTGCCTCCCAAGTGCTGGGATTAAAGGTGTGTACCACCACTGCCCAGCACCATATAACTTCTAATAAAGCAACTAAAATCTGATTTTCAGTTTCAATAGAATTTATATATAAATATCTACAGATAAAAGAGTATGAATACAACTATGCATAAGCTCATATTTTATTATCAACTATATTAAACTAATAATGTGCCTTATGGATTTAATTATTTCAGTTGGTTATTAGTTTAGACAGTCTGTACAGGTTATCTGTAAATGGTGAGTCTCCATGATTGGAATTATTATTTCTATGAAAAATACATTTTTCCAAAGAAGTAAATAAGTGAAAATATAAATTTTAAGAAGTTACTTTGATTGAAGATTCCCTGCATACACTGTTTTCACGAAAGTTAATCATGCTAATAGCATCTTCCAGGGGGAAGCAGAATGGTGATATCATAAAGGGAAGTGACCCAATATCATGAGATTTTTTCCCCTAAAATTTAAAAACCTGAAACACTAGAAATAAGATAAAATCAAGCTCATCCCTCTTGGCAATAACAGCAGTTAGGCTGAGGTAATGCACCTCAGAGCCACAGTGGCAGGTAGGGAGTTCAGGAAGAAGTATTTATCAGCACATTGTATAAGAGGAAAAGATGCACTTCACCTCCCTCTCCTGAGGTAGGGTCCAGCTCTTCCCCTGTTCCTTGTCTGAAGTACAATTTGCTGATGAATACTGTCTTTGATAGGGAAAAATGCTTGTTTCAATGGGGAAGAAACCTGATAAATATTTATTTATGGAGGACTAGCATTCTAGAAATAATACCAACCAATACTAAGAATAATTTATTATTCTCATATTTTATACTGGATACTATACAAAATGGTTAACATACATTATTTAATTTGTACAACATACATAGTATGTTCCCATTTTTTGGAAAAGAGATTGAAGTTTGAAATGAGTACACACAAAATTCTATCTTGGTGATAAATATTTTTCATGAAATTCTTACCCTCTCTGGGTCTTGACAACTTGGACTACACAAATAGAAATGTGGGCATGAGAAAGCAAAAGTACATGAGAAATAGAAGAAATGAAATGGCTTCTACCGATTTTTGATATTAGCTTAAATAAATTAGTTCCATATAAAGTCCTCATGCTGATAAGACAACTTCCTGTGAATCTTCCTGTTCAAGCTATAAAGAAGGGCTCCTATGATATGGTCTCTGCACTGATTAAATACAACACCAGCCTTGACCAGCCCTGCATCAAACGATGGTCAGCAATGCATGAGGCAGCTAAGCAAGGCCGCAAAGATATTATCACTCTGCTACTGAATCACAGAGGCAATGTCCACCTGAGAGATGGATTTGGAGTCACGCCCTTAGGAGTCGCTGCTGAGTATGGCCATTGTGATGTGTTAGAACATCTTATTCACAAAGGTATGTGAAGTGATTTACTCTGTCCTGCTCTCAGACTTTCTTCATTTCTCATGGGCTCCTCCTCTTCTGAGTATAAATGGGTGGGGCTTTATCCTAGCCCCCATATTAAGCCCCTATTCCACTACTTAACCTCTATTCTTTATGACCAGCAGAGATCTGCAAGACCAGCCCTGATTGCTTTCTCTAGAGGCAGCCTAGTTTCTAGAGACTGGAAGGTTGGATTTATCTCTAAATCTTCTATCACTTTCTTTCCCAAACCCAACTAGTTGCAAAGTACCAAAGTCTGTGGTATTTCCATGCTGCCATATGCATGCCTTCTTGGTCAGGTCCTTCCCATCTTTCCTGGACCAGTGTGATCATTTGCTAACTATTCTCCAGATTTCCATTCTTCCGGTCAGGGAATACATACTATGTATTACAAGTTAGTGCCTCTTGATCAAGTGCAACATCAGTAATGTATTCTATTCAAAACATCACTGCAATTGCTTTTGGTAATTGGAATTGTTTTTCCAGGCTTATGCTTCACTACTCCAATCCTGCATATCCCACTCCCGGCAAAATAGAATATGGGCGTTCTCTCTGCGTCAGTTTAGGTCAGATCCTTGCTCCTATTTTGACTCCTTGCCAGTAGGTCCAGGTGAGAGGAGAGAGCTCCTGGTCCAGCCAGGTCTTTCCACTGAGCAGGATGGTGAGTATCAACGGCCCAAAAGAAGCACACTGGGCCGGGAGTCTTGTCAAAGCAGGAACTCAACTTTATTGCATCAGCCTCTCGCTTATATGAACACAGAGCATAGGGAGGGAGAATTTGGGTGGGGTGAGATGACGTAGGAGGTGGGGTAGGGTGACATAGGGTATGGGGTGACTGACAGAGCCAATGGCAAAGCTCTACATCAGCAACAGCAGAGCAGAGGCAGGGCCAAAAAAGTCTTGCTGAGTCACCCTGGTATGGAAGTGATTGAGACAGATCTCAAAACTTGAGCCAGGCTTAGACTCTCCCACAAGGCCGCAGAAACTCAAGCCAAGCTTGAATTTGTCTTCAAGGCCTGAACCAGGGCCAAAAATGGGGCCCAACACCCATTTATGAGTCTCTTAAGACATTCTCATAAATGTCTTTCCCATCTCTAACAGATGGTGTCATTTCATTCCCTGCCCCTCAGACCTCAAATGTCTCAACTGTCCAGCCAGGAAGAAAAAAACTCAATTCCTATCTGCTAACTCCTAGCTCCACCTACTCTATGAGACCCTTGTCTACTTACATGCCCAAGCCCCAGACTGCTCATCCATAAGTGAGCCACACAATCCACAAAGACTCTTGTATGGGTGAAAATTAGCATTTTTGTGTTTCCTAATGTAACTTCACTGAATTATCACATAATCCATGGACAATAAGCTATATCGGTTTACAGAGGAAGAAAGAGAGACACATAAAAACCCTATCTCAATTCGTGGAGTAAGCAGCAGGTCCATCATCAAAGATGGTTCTCTTCCCTTTATGGTGTGTGTTCTACTAAAGCTGTTACTGCAGTTGGCTACACTGTATGTTCTCTAGTTACCTCTTCATTTGTTATTTACGTTCCTTTGCTCAGGTTTATTCATCTTAGGGCCACACACAGTATTTTCTCCCTGTAGATATCCATGACTATTTTCTGAATTGAAAGGATGCTACTTGTTACCATCAAAGCAAAAAGTCTCATGATTATATTTCTCGAAGCACATCTGTCTTATTTTCACTCAGGTTTTTGTGACTCCCTCTCCTTGAAAGTTTAATGTAATGAAGCATGTTATCTAGCTGTTATTGAACAGCTAGGCTTTTATCAGAAAGAAAAAAAATGACAGCCTACTTTAACAGACTATCTTAACACTGCTCAGCCGTCTAAGCCACGTGCTTTACACTGCCAGGTGGTGATGTGTTTGCTTTGGCGGATGATGGGGCATCTGTGCTATTCGAGGCAGCAGGAGGTGGAAACCCTGACTGCATCTCCCTCTTGCTGAAATACGGAGGAAGTGGCAATGTGCCCAACAGAGCCGGGCATCTTCCCATACACCGAGCGGCCTATGAGGGACATTATCTGTAAGTAAGATATTGAGGCGAACTCTTTAAGTTAAAATAAAAAACACTAAGGCATGTGTACAGTACAGTCTCTTGTTATATGATACTCCCCAAATCTCAAAGGAAATATCCACACTTTTTTTTTATTTCAATGCTTGGAAATTATTTCATAGCTTTCCCCCTTTCATTCTATACTCTTGACCTTCACAGAATGTGTTTATAGTATTCTTTTAATAAAACGTATTTCTTGTAGAGGAATAAAGTTGTAATGGAGAAATCTTCACCAACTGGCATTTCTGTATTTTAAAAAAAATGTTCAACAAATGACTACAAAGTCTCTGAACATTTTGCCAATGATACTGTGTTGTACTTCAGTTATTTCCTGGCATTGCAGGATGTATAGGATACTATCATGGTGAATATATTCTTAAATAGAAAAGATTTACTGTAACTCAGATTGAGTGGAATTTTCAACTGTAAAGTGTTATAAGCAGCACAGTCATAGAAGCCTAGAATCACAACATTAAGCTATCCACTAAGAAAAGATGGTTTTAAGAAATTAAAAGTGTGTCACAAGTTCGAAACCTTTGAGACGGCTTGGCTTTATTATTTCTGGTAGCCACACTGGCAAAGTTAAGGGACTAGTGACGTATAATTGATGTGAACTGACACGTTGTTAAAGTTTACCTGGATTTACTCCCAGCGTTCATAAATTCACACATGATAGCTCTGAATTAGGCACAGGAGATCAAATTATCCTTGGTTTGTGGCTCTCCTGAGTGTCTACACGGTTAGTGAAGTGTGAAATTCACAAGCATTCATCACATGTATTTAGAAACATGAGCTAGGAATGGTTATTTCATCTGGACGGATACAAGTTTGATAGAATACTGAAGATTCTGCTTTTCACTAAGAATTCATTGTGAGCCGTATAGGAGACAGGATGTGCATGGGCAATATTAACAGGTGACTTAAGAATCAATGAAATAGAAAGAATTATTCAGAATCAAAAAGTTAAAACTCCATCCCTTCCTTTCACGTAGACCGTAGGACCTTGGACAAGCCCTGTTCTTCCTTAAGCCTTCATGTTGTTCATCTTTAAATGAAAAGGTTTTGTTTATGCCATGCAAGTGATTTGCCAAGATTGCATGGTTTCTAGTCGTCAGGGTTATGCAGTGTGCTTTTATGCCATGACTCTTTGGCAATTTTGCAGTCACATGTATTGATTTACAAATTATATTGTCAATAACCAGAACAGTGGGGAAAGCCCTGAGGACTCAAACCTAGAACCAAACATGGATGTTCCTTGGGAATTTTTAAGATGGGAAACTAAATTGAAACTCAACTAAATCCTGTCAAATTAAACAGGAGGCTCTTGTGGTTAAACAAGTCTCACAAAGTTATGTAGAGGAAATATGGAAAACAAAACAAAGTGAATTCACTTGTCCAGTGAGAAAGTATTATTTAGTTATCTGATTTTCTTTATTCATTGGGGTATTTAAGGAGGTTTTTCTTCCCCTCTAGTGCTCTGAAATATCTTATCCCAGTAACATCCAAACACGCCATTCAGAAAAGCGGCCTAACTCCAATTCACTCAGCAGCAGACGGACAAAATGCCCAGTGCCTCGAGCTGCTCATTGATAATGGTTTTGATGTCAACGCCCTGCTTGCCGACCACATTTCCCAGAGCTACGACGATGAGAGAAAGACTGCGCTGTATTTTGCCGTCTCTAATAATGATATCCACTGCACAGAAATCCTTCTGGCTGCAGGTGCAGACCCCAACTTAGATCCCCTCAACTGTCTCCTTGTGGCGGTGAGAGCCAATAGGCATGAAATCGTCCGGCTGCTTCTCTCCTACGGGGCTAACGTCAACTGTTATTTTATGCGTGTGAATGACACTCGCTTCCCCAGTGCCATTCAGTACGCCCTAAATGATGAGATTATGCTGAGGCTCCTGCTAAATAATGGTTACCAAGTGGAGTTGTGTTTTGACTGCATGCACGGAGACATCTTTGGAAATTCATTTGTGTGGTCAGAGACAGAGGAGGAGGGACTGCCAGGATGGACATCTTGCGTAATAAAAGACAATCTGGTGAGTTTCTTTCCTTCTTCATTTTGGATCAGTACCTCAATTCACTTCTCTCAGGAAAATCTTTAAGTTCTGATTTTTCTTTTAACCCTTTTGATTTATTCATCGACTACTAGAGTTGATCAAGAGTATATTGTTTAACTTTTAGTTATTTATAAAATATCCAAATTTCTTCCTGTTACTTATTCCTAGATATATATCATTTGTGGCCCTAAAATGTAATTGAAATGGCTTTAGTATTAATAGTATTAGGTCTTGTTTTATAGTTGAATATATAATCTGTTCTGGAGGGTATTTTATATTCTAAGTAAAATATATAGTCTTTCAGTTTAACCCATAAAATGTCACTCATTTGAGGATGCTACAGCAAATAAAATACAATTGAATTTATACGCTTCTCAGTTTTTACTTATTACTGTAGACAGATAAGCATAAAGTTGGCCAGGGAACAAGGCTATTTCTTTTCTTGGGTTGGAAACAGAGCGTCAAACAATTTTAAAATGCAATTATTCACCTGTGCACACTTGGTGGAATATTGGGGCTAGAAGGGAAAAACATTTTCTATACCATGTTTGCTACGATCCCAACAGAAGCATGAAAATGCACTTAGTCCTATTAGTTCAAAGTAATAATAGTTCAAATGGCATTTCTTTTTCATTTTTCATCATAACCATGCATATTTTCTTTTCTGTAAAAAGACAAAGAATAACTGTTCATAGCAATATTGATTACACGTATGATGTATTAAAACACCACTAAGTTGACTGTTATCGTCTTTCTCAGTTCTGTGAGTTTATTACAGTTCCGTGGATGAAGCACCTGGTGGGCAGCATTGTCCGCATACTGATAGACTACATGAGTTATGTCCCTCTGTGTGCAAAACTGAAGTCTGTGCTAGAAGTACAGAGAGAATGGCCAGAAATCCGCCAGATAATAGGTAAAAACAGATATTTCCTTTAACTTTGTATTTGTTTATTGTGTGTATGTGCTGTTGTGAGTGTGATTATGAGTGTGTTTTTATATCCTCAGAGAAGCTTACAGTTAGCAGCGACCGTACCTGTTCTGAGCGTCCTCCTCACACACAACTTGGTGTGGAAAATACCAATCCCTACACAAAGAAATAATAAATGATGGTTCCAGATCTGAGGAGGGAAATTTATAAGAATGAACCTGGAGCATCTGCTCATATCAGGCAGCCAAGAAACTCAGTGACTTTCAGAACTGGGTCTGAAGAGTCTGCGATCCATCCTAACGAGACTCTCAGTGGACAAACAGGATCATTCAAGTTTCAAAACCACAGTTGTTTCAATGAGTAACATTAATATGTCCAAAATGTCTAAATACACGATACCTTAAAACTCGATCGTTTCAAAGGGTTTACAGAAAATCAACTTACCTTGAAATTTGTTAAAAACACGTAAGCCATTTTTTTCTGCCTTGTTTATATAACACATGCCACAAGTAACCAAAAATAGATGAGAAAAATAACTCTTTATGAAGTGTCTCAAATAATAAATGAAAATTTATATAACTATCATTTTATATCCTGAATAAACAAATGGGTGTGTCTGTTATACTTTGGCTCTTGCCAGTAGTGCATTATGGAGGTCCCAGAGAAGAGAAAATCATTTGCCAAAGAGGTCAGACATAAGTAGGCTCAATCTTTGGATTCAGCTACCAGCTTTCAAAAAACAGGGAACAATAGGATGTGGAGCTGTATCATGGCAATCCATACCTATCATGGGAAAACATACACATGTGGGCTCTTTAATGATTAAGTGACATGATAAAAAATAGAAAAAGAACTTAAAGATCATAAGATATTTATACAATATTCTGTAACTTTTTAACCCTCCATCCAAAGGAAAGCCCCAGACGAATGACATCTGATGTTGACTGCTAGCCTACATAGGCACACACTCAGTCACTTAACTGTCACACACCTGTGGCACACACACACACACAAACATAACAAAAAGAGACATTAGGGACTATTCAATGATAAAAGTGATCAAATTTTGTTATATTTGACTATAAGTGTTAAAGTACAATCTTTTATTACTAAAACAAAGGCATCTGGTTGTAATAGCAGCACTTGGAGGCCAAGGTAGGAAGGTCACATTTTTTTGTCGGTCCTATAATTAGTGTAAGGACAGATCGCTTAGACGATGAGACTTCAAAAGGGGTGATTGCTGTCTAAGTGAGAATCGTGGTGGCTTATGGGAGGAGGAGGAATGAAGGTTGGAAGGCTGTGCAACCCTCTTCTGTGGCTGATGAAGCTCCTTTATAACCTATGAGGTAGGAGTATAAGTTTGTCTACTTATACTGCCAGTGCATGAAACTATGTGTGTGTGGAGTCAGTCCCATATTTTAACTTTTCAGAAGGCTTCAAAATGAGAACACCACCAAAATCTAAACAAATTAACTTCCCAAAGGTTTGGGCATAACCCCAAAGCCAGGGGTTGAGTCTTATGTGTCTTATTCGATAACAGTGCCTTTTTCTGCAGCAATTGCTGTTACCTCTGTCATAAGTAGCACAGGTTGTCCTAGGAAATGAGATTTAATGATCTATGTGTTACTATTGTAAATGAATGTCTAGATGTGATGGGTTTAGAAAGATACTCCAGGTAAGAGTGAACGAAGTTAGGCCGCTTTTCTGTGATTTCAGTGGTTTATTTCTTCAGCAGCTTGTCAGCTGGTTGCTGTGAGCCTGGTAAGCCACTGGATGTCAGGGTTCCTCCAGACGTAGGTAAGGTGGTTTGTTTGTTAAGGTACAACATAAAATTTCAGTCTTATAGAATGTGAGAAGGTGCTTATGTTGATTATAATCTTTTTGCCTCACATTTGTAGAAAATGGCCTGGTTTATTTTTGAGATAGGGTTTTGCTATGCAGCCCAGTCTAGTCTGAAACTCTCTCTGTATCCCAGGCTGACCTCAAACCTTCCTGCCTTGCCCTCCAAATGCTGGGATCATAGGTACATGCCACCAGGGCTAACTTGGTTTTAATATTAAAAGAATGTAGTTTGAAATTTTATAATCAAATACAACAAACTGTGATCACTTTCATCATTGAAGTGGATAGTCCCTAATATTTCTTCTTGTTGTGTGTGTGTGTACTCACATGAGAGTAGCAGTTCAAGTGAATGTGTATGTTCACATGTAGATCTGAAGTGAACATCAGATGTCATTCCTCTGGAGGTTTCTGATTAAGTAGACTAGCTGGCCACTGAGCTTCCAGTCTCTACCTGTTTCTGCCTCCTAATAAACTGAACGCTTGAACGGCAAGCATGTTAGCTGCTGAGTTGTCCCCTTTCCCCAGCATTTACTGAGTGTTATAGTGCAGTGCATCAAAGATTTTTCTAGTAGTTTATATAGACTATTTAGCCTTCAGACAGTCCTATGAAGTAGGCAATGTTGTTACCCACCTTACATAAATGAGAATATTAATTACAGGGGTTAAGACACTGTGCAAGGTCATACAAAGTAACACAGACAGGGTGTTAATCCCAGCTGACTGAGTCCAGAGCCAGCGTTTACTTGTGTGCTTGTTCTATGGTGCCTCTTCGAGGGTTCTTTTTGTTGGCATAAAATATCAGTGTCACAATCCTAATAAAGAGTAAGAAGTTGAAAAATATATTTACATATCACAAGATATGTAAATGTTAGTATCTAGTGTGTTCCAGACACCGGAAACAGGCCTCAGATTGAATTGTGAATGATTTATGAAATTGTCTAATGGTGTTTAACTGATACTTATTCATCAGAAAAACTAGTAGAAAAGAAAAGAAATAAAGAAATATGTCCATATAATATATAGTTCTAAAAAAAAGGAGAAATGTGTGATCCTTTGCTATTTAACATCCAATCTATCTGTTTATTTAACAAACTGGACACCCATCAGGACCCAGACTTGCTCCTGGCACAAATACAGACGGAATTCCTGTCCTCATGGAGCTCAAATCATGAGGCAAACTTAACTGAAATGTGAATTGAGGTCAAAGTCATCAGCTGCTAAAGTGCATATTTTCAGAAGCACACTGCATGCTACTCTGAGACAATCTGTATCTATCGTGTGAAGCCAATAACACTTTTAAACTTTCTGCTTGTTTCCCCATTTATTTTAGAGAATCCTTGCTCATTAAAGCATCTGTGCCGATTAAAAATTCGCAGAGTTATGGGACTCCAGCGGCTCTGCCAGTCAGCCTCCATGGAGAAGCTTCCTCTACCAGCGGCGATGCGAAGATACTTATTATTTAAAGAATACGATCTCTACGGACAATAGCTAAAGTTAATATAACTTTAAAATTATATTTTAAAATGTGATTCTTAAAGTATTTTTTAAAAAAATGTGATTCCCCTAGAGAAGTCATTGGAATCATTTTGTATTCTTGAGTGTATTTAATACCACTGAGAATTTTGTAGCTGTCCCTATGGGAAGGACATGTACACTCTTAAAGACTTTTAGGCTTCTAAGATAAGTAATATGCTGTATTTGGATTTCTATTGATTGTCTTCAGTTGTTACGAGTCTTCAAATTCTCTCTATCAACTGAATATCAGTGATTGAGAGTCTAGGCTTAAAAGGTAAATAACTACTTTCTCGCCCCCGCCCCACACACATCTGCCAGTTGCTGCTCTGCCTATTATTAGAACCCCTGCTCTAGAAGAGGTCATTTGTACACGCAGATTGTCCCTGTAATCCAGCTTCTCCAGAGCTCCTCTGCTCAGTCCCTAACAACTTCCTTGCTGCTAAATTCTATAAACAACTTTCGTTCCCCTTCCTGTTGATTTCTTTTGGCATCTAACTCCGTTTCCTGTTAGTCCTTGGGTTTTACCATACTGATATCCCGCTGTTTTCCCTCTCAGTCCTCCTCCACAACTTCTCTGTCTCTGCTTCTCTATGCTGCTCCTCTTCCTGCAGGCCTTTAGTGACTTGTCCTCTGTCCTTTCCTGATGCGCTGTGTTCTCTGAGAAATTCCATTCACTAACTGTGGTTGTGATCATTTTGCTGGGGACCATAACGTTTACAGCTGAAGTTCAACCTTTTGTCTCCTATGCTTCAGACCTGTTCGACATTGACCTAGTAGACCTCTAAACACACAGCTATCTGCGGTTCAACGAGTCCTCAAATCCTTCCTTCACATTCTGCAGCTCAATATTAGCACAGTCAACTCTGTTTCCAAATGAAATAGACTTGACATCAGTCTCGACACCCCCACCCCCATTTTCTCACCCTGCATGCCAACTCACCAAATGCCTCTGGGTTTCCTGCTCAGTCCCACAAATTGCACTATACATCTGACTGTATTCTTCCTCTTACTGAGATAATACAGTGCTGCTTGTCTGAATCCCCTGGCCTTTCATTCTCCCTGTTGTCTACAGAGTCCACACACAGCATTTCAGGATGAACTTTCAGAGACTTTAACATAGCTCATTTCCTTGCTGAAAATCACTCCCTATTATTTTGGGATTAAAAATCTCAAGTTCTCCCATGACCTCCATGCTTTAACCACCCCCCTCCCCCACCCCCCGTGGCCTATCTGCATATCCCCACCCCCTTTTGCCAATGTTACACATCTTATACAGCAATTCCCACGCTTTATGGTTTTATAAGACTGGAGATTTTCATTTTATTAATAAGAAATAATGTCCTCTTTTTAAAGGATACCATCTATTATACCCAATTCAGCTTTAAAGGGGGTTGTTCCTTAGAATGCTAGAAAACAAGATGGAGGTAAGCTCACTCGTTAAGTTGGATTGACATTAGCTTTGAAAAGATGGACAACGCTGTTATCTCCTCACTGACTAGCAAAACTTCACTGTGGTCCACAAGTATCCGAGTCTCTTTGATGGGAACCATTGTGAACCTCAGGACCGTTACCTCTCTATCTGAAGCGTTCTTTTCTCTCCTTTACACCCTCTCCCACTGATTAACTGACCCTTACACTGCAGATCCTGGCTCAGCTGTCGCTTCCTCTGGATGGAGGCCACTGCTGAGTGCTGCTCCTGTGGTATTGTAGTGCTCTATGTTATGCTAGACTGGAAGCTCCATGAGGGCAGGACCGTGTCTCCTTTATTTCCCAGTATGTCCTCAAAGCCAAACACACGCCCTAAAATGTGAATGTTATACAAGACCCAGACTAAAATAATCAGTGACATGGTGGTAATATGATAGGTTAGAGCTTCTGACTTGGTGTGTAAACCCAGTAATGTACTTATTTAAATTGCTTATTCTTTTATTTTAATAGTGTATTTTTTAACATTTGTTTTATCCTAAGAGTAAATATTCTTTTGGTAGTAATATCTTACTAGTGTGTAAATTTTCTGAATTACATTTACTTTCAGTTATCTTTGAAAGATAAATAAATCTCGGAAGAAAATTATATAATCAGGGATATGGTTTCAATGTATCTCCTTGAGGATTTTATAATACAAACTATACCATAATGTATTTAACTCGAACTGTGATGTTTCATGTACAATATATCTATAATTCTTGTGTTGTTTTCTTTATTGTGCTTAAAGTCCTTGCTTATAAATATTGCTCTAAATAAATGAAAAATAGAAATGAAGATGTAAGTCTGCTGTCTGATACTTCAGATATTATATGTATTTGGGGTAAATAAGTACAAGAACTACTTGGGTATAAAATGTTAACTGGACACACATAGAAAAGATTTGTAAAGTTATTGCCTGGACATCTTGGAAGGACAAAATTTGTCTTAAGATTTGGAAATGGTGATGTATGTGAAGCACATTACAATGTAGACTTTTCCTGTAACAAGGTTCTTTGAGAACACTAGATGGAAAGAGAATGGATTCCTGTCTAACTAGAACTGTGTATCTCCTCCTGTGTCAGCAGCTGCTCCCCACAGTCAGGCTAAGAAGCCAACCACTCTACACTGGGGCCAATGTCTCCATGTGCACTGATAAGGTGGGGCACGGATGCCATCTCTCCATGCTGCCAAGACGCTTGTGGCTGTTTTTAGCTCTTGTTTAGTGTCATTCAGAGAGTCTGAGTGGGAAGGAATGAAAATGATCTCTGAGCTGGGTGGGTTTGGGTCAATGTTTCTCTAGGTTGTAGTCAATTCATACTTTGATTTCTGGTTAAATATATTCAGCAGCAGCATTGAAACCACGTTCTTCTTAAAGAATATGGTTAAATAATTTAATGATGTCAGGAGGTATTTCTGGGTAAAAGAAAGACAAGGCAGAAAGATGAGGAAACAATTACTTAAATGTATACTATACTTCTCAATGCAGACTTTTAAAAAATGAATACATGTGCCAGACAGCAAGAAAAAAATACAAGAAATTCATGACACAGAGAAAATACTTAATCTTGTCATTGAGCTTTTATTACATATTTCTATCAAAATTTGGGTTTTAAGTGGCATTCTTTGTATGCATCTACCTCTCAAATCATAAATTATTTAGAATATATAAAAATTATATTTGTTTCAATTTATTCATTAAAAGTTAACATTACATATAAGTATGTATATATATACATGTATACATATAATATATGTATGGTATATGAATACTTAAGGTAATACACACATACATATTTTTAAATTTTATATATATATATAAAATGTTCTAATATATCATGACATTGCAATGCCATACTGTCTTGGGTAAAGTATTATTGCTGTGATAAAACACCACAACCAAAAGTAATCTGGAGAAGAAATGGTTTATTTTATCTTATAGCTTGTAGCCCATCATCCAGGGAAGTTGGGGCAGGAACTCAAGACAGAAATCTGAGACAAAAGCCACGGAGGAGTACTGCTTACTGGCCTGCTCCCTGTGAATTGCTCAGCCTTCGTACTTATGTCATCCAGGGTCACTTGCCCAGGGGTCACACAGCCCAAATTGGCCTGGGCCCTCCCACATCCATCTGTCTATAATCAAGTAAATGACTGATAGACTTGCCTATAGGCTAATCTTCCAAATGCCTTTAGTCTATGTCAAGTTCACAAAACGAAAGCAAAACTAACCAATAATGAATATAAAGCAGGAATATATACTTTGTATTAAGCAGCCAGTTCCTTAAGAGGACTAAATAAGGAAGAGAAAGACAGAAATCACAAGATCTCACTTAAATGCAGAATCTAAAAAGGCAGGCAGAAGCAGAAAATAGTAATTACCCAAAATTGGTAGCTAAGAAAGGGGACTGGGATCCATCAAGTAACATCAATTGGACATGAATAATTTTAAAATGTTGTTTAACCTGGTGGCCATCATTAATAACAATGTTTTAATATTTGTTTTTAGTCACTTTTACATATATCATTTATATAATTATGTAATTTATATATTTATATAATATATAATATTACATATTTATATAATTTATATATTGTATATTTTTAGTTTACTTTTTTTAATGAAATATTTGAAATAGGCAACTTAAGGAAAGAATGATTTCTTTTAGCTTATGGTTTGGCTTGAGAGGATTCCATTCATTGTGGCAGAAGAGGGGTAGCCATAAGCAGATGAGGTTGTTTTCTCACATCTGTCTGAATGAAGAAAACTGTGGATGTTGAAAGTTGGTTGGTACCCATCTGGCTTTCTTTTGGCTTGTTTATTTAGTCTAGATACCTATCCCATGGGATAGTTTCACAAACTTTCGGGTAGGTCTACCCTTCTGCATTAATCTTCTTGAGAAATACCCTCACAGACAAGCCCAAAGGTGTTATCTTCTAAGTGATTCTGAATTTATATAAGTTAACAATGAAGATTAGGCATCACAATGTAAAATCTACTGTGGTGGTTTGAATATGCTTGGCCCATGGGAAATGGCACTATTAGGAGGTGTGGTCTTATTAGAATAGGTGTGGCCTTGTTGGAGGAAGTGTGTCACTCTGAGGTGGGCTTTGAGGTCTTTGTGTGCTTAAGCTTTGACCAATGCAGAAAAGACACTCCTTGTGGCTGCATTTGGATCAAGATGTAGAACTCTAGGCTCCTGCAACACCATGTCTGCCTGCAGGCTACCATGCTTCCTGCTATGATGATAATGGACTAAACCTCTGAAATGGTAGGCCAGCCCTAATTAATTGTTTTCCTTTATAAGAGTTGCCTTGGTCATGGTGTCTCTTCACAGCAGTAAAACCTTAACTAAGACAACTACCAAAAGAATTCTGCTTCTTGTTCTGCCAAGACATGAGGAGAAGAGGTGTCCCACCTGTACACTCAGCCTTCGTGAAGTCATCCACTGCCATACCTTCTCCATCATGACAAAGGAACCTATACAGGAAATTGATATCTTGAGTCATTGCCCTGCTGAAGTCTGGAACTGCAGGCTAAAAATGTCCAAGAGTGGCTAAGAGTGTTGATTCTGATAACAGCTTGAAAGCAGAGATGTCAATAAAAAGACAAACAATTCAAACTTTCTAATGAGCTTTTACAGGAAAATGAAGGACTACCCCTGGAACTGGGATAGATGTTATAATACGACAAAGAGTCTGACTGCATTCTGCCCATGTCTTAAATATTTGAGTGACAATAAATTAAAGAATAATCAACTAGGTATTTTAGAGGAAGAACTCTAAAGACAGGATAATATCCAGGCTGTGGCATAGTTTGTATTCACTTCTGATAGCCAGATTTATGGTGAGCAAATAGAGTAGAAAAAATAGGAAAATATGACAAAGAAATGTAAATCTAATCAAGTTAAGGACAGTTCAGTGTTGACAAAGTGGATGCAATTGTTATAGATTTTAGCCCCCGTAGCCATGATCTAAGAGGTCCACAGTACATCTTGAGCTGGCACCAAAACTTGATGCAGTAGCATGTTTATAGGCATGCAAGATGCAAGTGTGAGAGGTCCTGTAAGCTTACTCCAAACTTCAGAAAGCTTCTGGAACCAAACAATACAAGACTCCTTGAGTAGGCTTTGTGTGAAGCTATGGATATATAGTTTAAGCTGCAGAGGAGGCCCTAGGATAGTGGAGATGCCAGAAATTTGGGTATCAACTGAGAAAAGCTGAAAACACTGAAAACATTAAGTGGAGCTGGCCTGAGGGAAGCCATGTAGGATGTAAACAAACTAGTTATAAGGGAAGGACTATGTAAGCCCATTAGTTCTCAGATGATTTCATATGACCTGGACCAGGAACAGCAATGCCTGGTACTTGCTTACTGGGTTACAGTCTTTCTTTGGTCTGATATTTTTTTTTGTTGCATCTCTTCCCTTTTAGAATGAAAATGACTACTCTTCCATTGTGTGAATTATTTTATGATTTTTACATGGGCTCACAGTTTAAGGGATCATTTTGTATTTTAAAATAGACTTTGGACTTTCAAAGAGTATCAGAACTCTAAGACTAAGGTTAGAGTGAATGGATTTCGTATAAGATGGCCAGTGTCAGTGAAGGACAGGGATAGGATATATGATTTGAATATAAGATGTATCTCACAGATTCATGTCCTTGAACACTTGTATATTTGAACAGACATTTGAACAGCTGTTTGATGGTTTTGTAGGTTGTAGAGATTTTAGGACAGTGGTTCTCAGCCTTTAGCTTGTAAACCCTTTGGAAAACCTCTACCTCCAAAAAATATTGGCATTATGATTCATAATGTAGCAAAATTACAGTTATGAAGTTGTATAATTTTATGGTTGGGGTCAGCACAACACAGGAACTGTATTAAAGGATAGCAGTATTAAGAACGTTAAAACCCATTGTGCTAGGAAGTGAGACTGAGCTGGAGGAAATATGGCATTATTAAGACATTATAGCCAGGTCTATTTCCTAGCCTATGTCTGTTTCGTGACTTCTGAGGTATGTAACCAGCACCTGAGTACTCCTGCTAATAGGTTGCCATCTTTAAACCTTCATAAACAATGGTGGACTATATTCCCTCAAACAATAAACCAGAACACTTGCCCCCACCCCCCCAAAAAAAACTGGAAAGAAAAGGATAGCTTAGATTTCAGGTATTCCCACTGTAAAAAAGAGAAGTAGGTGAGGCAATGTATATGCCAATTGGCTTGATTTAGCCATTCTACAATATACAATATATTTTAAAATAGCATATTCTATATCATTCGTACACACACACACACACGTGCACGCTCGTACACACACACACACACACATTCCTTTCAACTAACATTGAAAAATGGATTGCTTTAGCATTCTTAGATGAAGCATGCAAATATATCTGATCATTAAGACTGACACGGACACATGGATGCCAGGAAGTGCAGGCTGACAGGAGCCTGATATAGCTGTCTCCTTAGAGGTCTGCTAAAGTCTGACATATACAGAGGTGGATGCTCACAGCTGACCATTGAACTGATCATGGGGTTCCCAATGGAGGAGTTAGAAAACTGAAGGAGCTGAAAGGGTTTGTGACCCCATGGGGCGACCAACAATACCAACCAATCAGAGCTCCTAGGGTCTAAACCACCAGCCTGGGAGCACATAGGGAGAGACCCATGGTTCCAGCTGTATATGTAGGGGAGGATGGCATTGTCTGGCATAAGTAGGAGAAGAAGTCCTTGGTCTAGTGAAGGCTGGATGCTCCAGTGTGGGGGAATTTGTGAGTGGGAAGGTGGGAG